TCATAGATTCCGAAAGATCGCAGTCTACCATCTCGAATATCCATCGAGATGTCTACCGTCTATATACATCCAGAGGAAAAGTATTCAGATCAGCGACGGGCAACAGCGTCAAAGGTGCGTCTGCTCATGTAGTTGTAATACGCCTGCCAAGAGTGATCATGAAGACAAATGCTTCCTACAATGACGGCTCCTACAACTTTTACTGCCTCCAGAGTGGCGCCACTTTGGACTGAGATGAAATATTTGACAGATATCATAGCAGTGGTGAAAAATTGTACAAATTATGACTTTATTTGAATTTGACCAATTCCAAAATGTGGGCATATTATATTTGATGGGCAAACCATGCAACTTAATCTTCTGGCATGCAAAATTCGGGGATCATCTCGGTGCCAAGTAATTTGATGTATCTTTAAAGTTCCACGGAAAGGTTCAACTGCAGCGTCATTAATTTTTTTTTCAATTTCATCCAAAAAGGTGTCGTCGGTTGGAATAACAGTTATACCTTGAGCATTTGTTTTCAAACAGCTGATTAAGCTTCTCATATCGGAAACATCATTTACCAGAGCCACGTGACGATCAGCAGTCCTCTTTAGGCAGCCTCCTGTGCCATCAGGAGCGCCCTTTCCGTGTCCACTCTCGCTGAAATGCCAATATATTTCTTCTGCGCCCAATTCAAAGCTTAAATATTCGACCAATAGAAGAAACCTAGTTTTATTCCTGTACTGAGTAACAGGGCCATCACTCAGGATATGAAAGCTTTTGATACTTTTTCAGCTCCTTTTTCTGTTTTTTATTTCTTCTTCAGAAAATTTTTTCCGGGTCCCTGCCATTTTTCTATCCGAAAAAGCAAGAAAGCTCACACTCAACACAAACAGTATATTAAACATCTATAAAACACATGCTGTAAAACCGAATCTTTTATAAATGTCTTTTCGGTGACGAGTTGTCTTTTCGGTGGTCACAAGGGCCACCGAAAAGATGACCACCGAATGGACATTTTCGAACAAAACGTAAGTGCTGAACAAAATTTTGAGGTTAGGAAAACAAATTTAAGCCATTTGTGATTAAGTCCTTGATACCCAACAGGCCAAATACTTATTTGAGAAAATTAATAAAAAATTACCAATTTAAAAGCGTAACCGAAAAGATACGTTGAGGTTTGACCAAAATACAATTATTGGTAAATAGGACACGGGTTTCACTCTCACTCCAGTCACAATCAAAAGATGGCTACCGGGATGCGTTCGAAAATTAATGATGGTGTGTAAAGTTTTAGCTGCGTTCGTAAAAATTTATTATGCTCCAATTAATCTGCGCATTTCTTGACCACCGAAAAGACACATTGGTGCTGTACACACATGACAATCGCTGATAATTTTTTTAGGAACTATATTTTTTATTTAATTATATTTTAAATCACCTCTTGATAACTACTAATTAAACAATATTAGTATAATTAATTATAATTTATTGTGATTTCGAAAATAGAAAGTGCAATATTTGTGTGCGTTAATTATGAACGGACCACCGAAGGGGACTGATGTCTGTAAATCAAAGTAATTTCACATAATTATTTTCTTTTATTGCTTGATCTTTACTTCTAAGTTGAAGTAAAGGTTGAGAATGAAAAATATTTTAATTTAAGACACACTTTTAAATATTTTTAGTGATAATTTTTAATACGGAACATATTCATTACTTGTTTTGACAATGACCCAGTAGGTTTCGTCTAATGAAGTCAACGCTCCGTCCCCCTCGTGCTCTGTTTCAAAGTTCCGAAACCTTTCAGCTCGAGTTACAAAACCGTTTTCAGTGCCTAGAAGACTGCAATGAAGTGGACGATATGTATAACAAGCTCGTGGAAACTGTCCATGCGGTCGGAGCTAAGTTCTGCAAGACCCGCCGTAGAAGAACACAAAAACTCTCCGATCACACTCTTAATCTCATGGCTGTTAGACGGGAGATGAAGCTACATTCTTCAACAGACTTGACAGCATACAGGCATCTAAACAGACAGATCTCTAAATAAATGCGGCGGGACTCACGCAACTTCAATACAGCTCGTATTGAAGAAGCGATCGAGCGGAACCAAGGCTCCAGTCTTTGCCAGAGATCTGTCTGCCAGAAAGAGCCAACTGTCAAAGCTGAAGACAGAATGTGGCAGCATCGTTTCCGGGACACCTGAGATTTTGAGTGAGATTGAGAGGTTCTATGGGCAGCTGTACACGTCATCGTTGGAGCCACACGCAAGTGTGAGTAACGATCCAAGAGCGAGTCTCATCCGACACTATTCCGAAGATATCCCGGATGTCAGTCTGAGCGAGATTAGAATGGCTCTCCAGCACCTTAAAAACGGGAAGGCCCCAGGCGAGGATGGAATTACAGCGGAGCTTCTGAAAGCGGGTGGAAGACCGGTACTTGAAGTCCTTCAGAAGCTCTTTAATTCCGTCCTCCATGGTGGCATTACACCGAAGGCGTGGAGCAGAAGTGCGGTGGGCTTGTTCTTCAAGAAATGTTACAACGCTCTCTTGAAGAACTACAGACCGATTGCCCTTCTGAGCCGCGTCTACGTGCTGTTTTCGAGAGTCATTACGAATCGTCTCGCGCGCAAACTTGACGACTTCCAGCCTCCCGAACAAGCTGGTTTCCGAAAGGGCTTTAGTATCATAGACCACATACATACCCTTCGGCAAATTGTACAGAAGTCCGAAGAGTACAATTTGCCACTATGTCTGGCGTATGTGGACTATGAGAAAGCCTTTGATTCCGTCGAAATTTGGGCGGTGCTGCAGTCCCTTCAGCGGTGCCAAGTTGACTGTCGGTATATCGAAGTGTTGAAGTGTTTGTACAGTAGAGCTACGATGGCTATCCGAGTATAGTATATAGAGTAGTAGTATAGTATATAGAGTAGTCATATCCCCGAAACTCTTCACCGCTGCATTGGAAGACGTTTTCAAGCTTCTGGACTGGAAAGGATACGGTATCAACATCAATGGCGAGTACATCACTCACCTTCGATTTCCCGGCGATATAGTCCTTATGGCAGAATCGCTGGAGGACCTAAGCACTATGCTCAATGATCTCAATAGTGTCTCCCAACGGATAGGTCTTAAGATGAACATGGACAAAACAAAGATTATGTTTAATGTCCATGTCACACCTATGCCGGTAGTTATTGGGAGTACTAAGCTCGAAGTTGTTGACGAGTATGTTTACCTGGGACAAATAGTCCGACTAGGTAAGTCCAACTTCGACCGAGAGGTCAATCGACGGATTCAATTCGGCTGGGCAGCGTTCGGGAAGCTACGACACATTTTCTCGTCAAACATACCTCAAAACCTTAAAACGAAATTGTACAACCAGTGCGTGTTGCCAGTGATGACTTACGGAACTGAGACGTGGTCCTTCACAGCTGGCCGTATGAGGAAGCTCAAGGTCGCTCAGCGAGCTATGGAGAGGGCTATGCTCGGAGTTTCTCTGCATGATAAACTTAGAAATGAGAATATCCGCAATAGAACTAGAGTAACCGACATAGCCCAACGGATTAGTAAGCTGAAGTGGCAGTGGGCCGGCCATATAGCTCGAAGAACCGACAACCGATGGGGAAGAAAGGTTCTCGAGTGGCAGCCTCGTACCGGTAGGCGAAGTGTAGGGCGACCCCCCACGAGATGGAGTGACGACCTGGTAAGGCATGCAGGAAGTCGATGGATGCAGGTGGCTCAGGACCGTGCTTTGTGGCATTCCTTGGGGGAGGCCTATGTTCAGCAGTGGACTTATGAAAGGCTGTAATGATGATGATACAAATTATTTATTCACTATCGTAATCTATATAGCATATGCTAACTAAATGTCATATTTACAACTCTTTTAGAACACAAAAATATTCTCATTATTTTTAGTATAAATTATTGCCACTTACACACCCTTATTGGACGCGTTTTTAGGGACACTTTTCATATACAGAGATGGTTCTCCTTCTACTCTACACTCCATACCAATTAGTCAGACCTATGGTCAAGCCAAAGACAATATCTATTTTTATATAGTGAGCGCTAGGGTAACGAATATTGCAATACGTTGTCGATAAATAAAATGTTTTGAGAAATTACCAACACTTAAAATATCGAATTGTTTGTATGAAAGTCAAGTGAGCGCTAGTCACGACGATTGCAAGACGTCGATAAGTGAAATGTTTTCAGAAATTTTCAATCACCGTTTCATTACACGGTTCTCAAAACATTGCAGTGTACGAATATCCATATCATGCCGTGTGTCGTAAAAGGCGACTAGACTTGGGGAAGTATTATTTTTAATAACTATGACCGACGTTATAGGTCTATAAAAACAACAGTGAAAAATCACTTACTTTGTCACGTCGATTACTTATTAGAAGTTGACATAAACGTTATTTTTCACCGTGATGTTAGTTGTCAGTTATGATTAATAAGGGACAGAGTGAAACAAATTAGGATACGGGCAGCAGTGTCTACTCTCTAGTCTAATATGGACAAAATAAGTGAGGACCTGCGATCGCTAAGTTGTCTCAATAATTATTATAAATATTACAAATATAAATTATTATTGATTTTTTTTATTTATAATATTTCACCATTTTTTAATGTTTCTTTTTGTCAAAAATTACTTCGCAGACACTATTTACCAACGGCAGCGCGGCTATAAATTCTACAAATTTTCAGGGACAGGCGGGCTATGCTTTAGCACGTATCGATCGTTCTCCTGTTCCCTAACCTCCATGCTATGATCTATAGTGGACTTTACTAGGCTCTATTAGGAAAAGTAGGAGAAAAAAGTCCGAACATGTTTTTAAATTTAATCTCGTCATTTGCTCATGAGCTCCTCTGTATTTCCATGACCCATGGCCAGAAGTAGATTGTTACGACCTTATGAAATAGAAAAAAATGTAAGGAAACTGAAAGGAAAGAGAGGGGAGTAATTTTATTATTTGAAAAATATTTCTATGTAAAAAAACTCATCAAACAACAAGATGAAATAATTTATTAAACAAGTCCAATGGTTAAAACAATGATAAATAATAAAATCTAGTTTACTGAAAAGAAAAAAATTCAAATATTATGTCACTTCCACAACTAAGGCAAATCTAACGACGCCCCATATATTAAAAAATCCATCAAGCAATTTAGGTTACAGAGCGTGTCAAAGAAAAAGACATCCATACGTGCATACTCAAAAAACATTACCCTTCTTTTGAAGTAGCCAAGTAAAGAAAAAAGGTTATACTATAAAAAAACAAAACATGCGGTAACAGATTAAACACTCAACTATGGAGTGTAAAAGTAAGGAGTACCAACTCCCATACGAGAATAGTTAAAAAAGTGTCCATCTGTAAGCAGTAAATAACAGTTAGTTCAAAAACTCTCCACTACAGCGCTCGAGTAGCTAGGGGTATGTTAAATTGCCGTAAAATACGTTGAGTGATTTTGAAAATAAAAATTTTGAAAGCAATAAAATAATTATTGTAGAAAGAATTATGGTGAGTTTGTGCAATAAAAAATTTTATAAAAAGTTCTTTATAATTTAGACTGTAGCTACAGTGGCGCCACCCTTATTTAACGCCTTCCTACGGACACTTTTTTATACAGAGTTTGTACTCCTTACCTCTACACTCCATACCTCTTGATAGAGAGTAATTGTGTTCTGTGCTCCATACGCTCAACAGTCAAAACATCCATCCCCGCTGTCAAATATCTGTTGTCAGTAACTGTCAATGTCATCCATTACGGCGATTCAATTCATACCATTGTTTTACTTTATTTTTTCATTATTTTTGTTTACTATTATACTTCCCATTTAGCATTAATGTTATAATAATATATAAATTTAGATGAGAAAAACATGTTTATTATATTTTATTGTTTAAACCATAATATTAAACCCACATATTACATAGAATATGGTGAAACGGAAGATCTTTTGACAGTGCAGCGCTGAGTTATTATGGACTGATCTCGAACATCTATTGTTAGGTAACCTAAGGTATTCATTAAATTGTATTCTTCATCTCGTACACACCCTCTCACACACGACATTTTACATATTTTTTTTCTTTCTATTTACATTTTTTATAACCCACATGTAATATAAAAAATAAAGTTAGGTAATTTTTCCATAATATAAATAAGTAATCTATGTTTATTATGTCCGGGGAGTGGCGCCATATGCTGAAATACAGGTTCTGGCCTAGTTCGGCAATGGATACTATTTTTCATCTTATAAGATAAAATATTCCTGTGTAGTTTATAAATAGACATATTGTTAAATAATATATATGGTAATAAAGATTATTATAATCATAGGAATGATGCAATTTTGAAAGATACTGTTGAGAGGTCAAGAATATCCACTAGCACAGTTTCGTTTCGTTTCGTGGGTGCCGTAAGAGGCGTCGGAGGAAAACTGAAACAGGAAATGGGCAGCAGCATCTTCTTAATAATAATTAAAAATTACAGGTTTTTTATAACCAACGATAAAACACAATGACTTTCAATAAGTGTTATCCGTATTGAATAAAATGTATTGTATTCTATTTATTCAAAAAAATTAAATACAAAATATTATTAATATTATATGACACGATGAGGAGGCGGAGAGGAGGGCGCGGCGGCCGCCTCGTGCCCGACGCCCGCCTGCTGCTGCCGTCGCTGGGAACCACACGCCTCGCACAGCACCACCACTCGAACTCGCCACCACCTCCTCATGATATACTTCCGCCAACAAGTACTCATTGCCGTTCTCCTCATCTAACCGCTCAACGACAACGACCACTTCTGGACGAACATTTCGCCTGCAAGACAAATATAAAAATTACATAACATAATTTAGTTCATACATATTTTATGTAATACTAGCTGTTCCCCGCGACTTCGCCTGCGTATTAATTTATGACCATTAGATTTCATGGATTTTAATTTATTTGTGTAGAACCCTAATTATTCCTTATAACACCAGTTATCTGCCAGTGAAAGTCCCGTTCAAATACTCCAAAGAGTAGGGAACGTCTCGGCGAAGCGGCGTTGAACGGTTCGTGTATTGTATTTTTATACCTATTTGTTTAGGCAAGAATATTTATTTTTATTATTTTTACCTTCGAAACGTATTCTAACGCGCGCGCTTGGCCTCGATATCGAGGTCACCCCCCGGCCGCCTGACGCGGCGGGATCGGACTTCTCGATATTCATTGTAGAATTTCTTGCGAGCTAGACTGTCGTTTTCCGCGCCTAACTTGTTACGAGAGTATCAACCCGCGTAAATCGTTGTGAGAACCGTATCGTTCATCAGGAACTACTAACTCTGTTAAATTAATTGTGCAACCATAATAGTGATTTACCTCTGAAGTACTACGTGTAGCTGTCCCATTTCGTGACAAACCAGGAAGAGTGCCTCCAGAGGGGGAAAGTTCCGAGGATACCAGCGCATACCTTCTCCCGGACGGCATTGCGTCATCCAGATCAGGGCCCGTCAACATACACGCACATACAATTACACATACACTCACGACATTGTCATCAGCCGGGCCGGTCTCGGAGAATAGTCTCCGCTCCTGGAGCAGGTGAGTGCCTTTATCGTAGTGACCTTTCCCCTCGTTTGTTTCTATTAGAAATTTTCACTTTGGCCAAAAGCCCGACCTGTATCTGCCTGTAGGATCTTACTACTATGGGCCTAGGTGGATACTACTATTAGCTAGGCAGCTGCAGGCCGTAACATTTGGTAGCAGAAGCGTGGCTGATTGTGTCTACAATCACGCCCGGCCGTAATACGTAAAATTAATATAAATAATAATTCTTTCTTGTTGCATAGTGGCTCGCCTTTTCTCTGTTGTTAGGAGGTAGTTGCTAATGCCACGCCCGTAGGTAACAAGCGAGAATTAAAGACTAATTTGATTTGTGTTTTTTCGTATTTACTTGTATTTTTGATTGATATTATCGTATTAGTAGTACTGTATTCGTTATTTCTGTTATTTTGTTATTAGTATTTGTTATTATTGTATTTAGTAATTATTCGTTATTTCTGTTATTTTGTTATTGTATTGTATTTAGTATGCCGTCACATAAGCTACTAATTCGTTGCTTGCGGACTGAGCTGCGCTGGGCTACCAGGGCACACGCGTTGATAGGCCGACCGGACAGGGTCTATAATCTGAGGAAGAGGCTCGAGCAGGTCGATGCTCGAAGGGCTGCCGTGGAGGAGGCTTACTCTGATCTCGAGGACTCGGAGGTGGAAAAGGGAGTCCTGGACTCCTGCCGCGCGGACTACGAGCAGTTCCTCGCGCTAACGGACGACCTGATCGAGGCGGGGGCCAAGGACGCGGAGAGGGAGCGCGAAGCTCGGCTGAGTAGCCTACTCGAGTCCCCGCGGAAGCCGCCTACTCAGCCAGAGCTGCTAGGACGACTCCCCACGCTGGACCTGCCAAGGTTCTCAGGGGTCCTCTCGGAGTGGCTGACCTACGTCGGCATGTTTGACAGCCCGGAGGGACCTGACCCCCTGCCAAAAAATGGGGTACCTCCTGGCATCACTGGAGGGGGAGGCCCTGGGCGTCGTCGGCCACCTTAAGTTGTCGGACGACGCCTACCAAAACGCCAGGGACCTCCTCGCTGGAAGGTACGCCAACGTCCGGCGGATTGCGGACGATCATGTTCGGAGGCTGCTGAACCTCCCGCTGCTGAAGGACCGGACTAGACTACGTGAAGACATAGTGAATCCAGTCGTCGTAGCGTGCAACTCGTTGCGGCGGCTGGATTTACCTGTGGACGAGTGGTCTTTTCTGCTCCTTCATATAGTGCTGTCCCGCCTGCCCCTCGACCTTCGGCTCCATTTTGAGGAGAGGTACGGAGGGGATGGCGCTTCGTACATGCCCCCCTTTAGGGACCTGCTGCGGTTCCTGGAGGAGCAGTGTAGGCAGCTGGAGAACGCAGCAGGCGCCGTCAAGGGCCCCCCAGCCGCCTCCCGAGCGGTGCCCAGGGAGAGGCGGAATCAGCCGGCCAAGGCGGCGCCCACCCCCCTGAGGCCGAGCGGAGCCCCCGCGGGAGGGCGCCCCCCAGTACCCTCCTATAGTGGCCTAGCGGCCCGGGAGGCGCCTCCCTGCTCCTATTGTCGAGCATCCGACCACCGGGCGGCGTCGTGCCCGAAGTTGTTGCGCAAGCCGGCTACGGCGAGGCGAACCATCGCCAGGGAGCGCCGCTGGTGCTTCTCGTGCCTGGAGAGGCATTTACAACGAGACTGCCCGCACCAGCGGCCCTGCACGCACTGCCAGGGCAACCACCACGTCATATTGTGCCTGGGTGCGCGCGGCTCGTCCTCTCAGGGCCCTGCCAGCACCCCGACTCCCACGGGCGGGGGCGCCCAGCCACGCCCACTGTCGGGCGACGCCCGGCGCTCACCGGTGGACCACAGCGCCCCTCGTTCTGAGGGGAGTCCCTCCCCCGATCGGTCTGGGAGTCGTTCCCCCAGGGGCGGGGGGGTCTTCACCCCCCCTCAGCGAGTTGATAGTGGATTCGCAGCCACTCAGCGGTCAGCTAGACCGTTCTCACCCCCGTTGGCTGAGTGGCCGCGACTGGAACGCCGCCTGCCCCCCTTTGGTCGGTGCCGGTACTACCGGGTTCTGGAGACTGCGTATCGGCCCCGGGCCTTGCAGCCGAGGATCCCCGAGTTTCCCCAGGTCGGCCCGTTCGGGGAATTCCAGTCAAGGGTCATCGAGACGCCGTCGGAGTGCCGCTCTCGGGGCCCCCGGTTCGGGTGCCGGTCCAACAGAGGCAGCTCCAGATAGGAGGCTGCCGTCCTAGCTCCCGCCATGGCCGCCTCCACTGAACCTATAAGTCGTCAGCAGTCCACCTGTCAAACTGTTCTATTGCCGACGGCCTCAGTGAAGGTTTACAACCCGAGCAGCGACCGCTTAACGGTTCGAGCTCTATTGGATTCGGGTTCCCAACGTAGTGTGGCTTCTACTCGGTTGGTGGGAAGACTGGGGCTCCCCTGGAGCTCTGAATCACGTCCGATGGTAGGTATCGGAGGTGCCGAGCCTCCTGCTCCTACGGGACAAGCGGAGTTGGTGTTCAGCCCTGACAGCGAACACCTTCGTATTTTAGTCAAGGTAAATGTCCTCGACGACATTGTAGGGTTTCTCCCTAACGTTCGTATAAATGACAGCGCTGTGCGCTGTGCGTCGGCTTTGAGACCGGCAGACCCTCGGTGGGCCCAACCTGGGCCTATAGATTTGTTACTGGGGGCCGACACGCTGGGTGTCCTCTTGTTAGGTGAGATACGAGCTCTGCAGCCCGATGGCCTGTCAGCCATTTCCACGATATTTGGGCACAGCTTTTTTGGACCGGTTATGTGGTCTCCTCCCCCTCCGACGGCCGACCCGCTCTCCGTCGTGGGCGTGTCTCTATCGGACGCCGTCCAGCGGTTCTGGGAAATTGAGGAACCACCACATGCAGCTCGAGTCGACCCTCTGGACCGTGAGTGTGAGTTGTTCTACCAGAACAATATCGGCCGGCGGGTTGACGGTCGTTTCGTCACTCGCTTACCCTTTCTGGACTCACGCCCCTCTTTGGGTCAATCTCGTGCTCTGGCCGAGAAGAGGTTGCTTTCCATGGAGCGCCGCATGCGGCGCGACCCAGCCTTTCGCGACAAATATGTCGAGTTCATGCGCAAGTATCAGGAGCTGGGTCACATGTCACCGTCCAACTTCGAATGGCGTTCACAGGAGCACTACTTCCTCCCTCACCATGCGGTCTTGAGGACCCCTGAGAGTAAGATTCGGGTAGTTTTTGACGGTTCCGCCCCCACATCAAACGGTGTGTCTCTGAACCAGTGTCTTCACTCGGGTCCTAAACTGATCAAGGACATATCCGACATCTTGACCCAATTCCGTCGACACCAAGTGGTTTTTGTCGCGGACATTCGGATGATGTTTCGCCAATCAGTGGTCCATCGTGATGACCGCCGATATCAGCTGATATTGTGGCGCGAGAAGCCCAGCGATCCTATACAGGTATTTGAGTTGAACACCACCACATATGGACTCCGGTCCAGCCCGTATATCGCCATGCGAACCCTCCTTGAACTCGCTGAGAGAGAGCGCCTGAGATACGCTCGGGGAACTTCTATTTTGGAGACTTCGGTCTACATGGACGACATTTGTACGGGCGCTTCCACCGTCGAGGAGGCTCTGGTCTTGCGAGACGAATTAATTGCCATCCTGAAGTCTGGAGGCTATGAGTTGCGCAAGTGGTTGTCGAACTCCCCTCATATTTTGAAGGACCTCCCAGGAGAGGATCAACAAGACCCTCATCTGTTCGAGCACCCTGAGAATCCTAATTTGTTGACTGTGCTGGGCATTCAATATCAGCCTGTTCAGGACACCTTTACGTATAGAGTAAAACTTGACCCACCGCCCAAAGCATGGACCAAACGCTTCGTGCTGTCCACCGTAGCCCGCACTTTCGACCCTAATGGGTGGATCACCTCGGTCATCTTTTTAGCTAAGTGCTTTCTTCAAAAGCTCTGGATGTCCGGGTTGGGTTGGGACGAGCCGATTGGCGGAGCCCTCTTGCGAGAGTGGCTCTCCATGCTCTCCTCCCTTCCGGATATCAACTGGGTTTCCATGCCAAGGTGCTTCCTTCCCCCCGGGAAATGTCGGGCTACCCTACATGGGTTTTGCGACGCCTCTGAGAAGGGCTATGCTGCTGTCGTATATTTGCGGACGGTGAGTTCCTCTGGTCATACTGCCGTCCATCTCGTACTCGCTAAAAGCAAGGTTGCTCCCATTAGGTCCCGCTTAACTATCCCTAAATTGGAACTGTCCGGTGCCGCTCTCCTCACGCGACTCCTCAACCACGTTCACTCTTCCTTGAAGCCTGTAATCGACATTACGGGCGTCTACGCATGGTCGGACAGTGAGATAGTACTTTATTGGCTCCGAGCTGCACCTCACAATCTTGAGGTCTTTGTGGCGAACCGCGTGTCTCAAATCCAGAGTTCTGAGACTTCTCTCAACTGGCGACATGTCCCAGGGGAGTTGAATCCCACGGACTGCGCTTCTCGCGGCTGTGAGGCCCCATCGCTGGTTGACCACCCACTGTGGTGGGGTACCTGTTGGTTATCTGGGTCTCAGTCATTCTGGCCCCCGGGCAATTACTCCGAACCTACCGAATTGCCGGGCCTACGAGCCCGAGTAGGAGTGGGCAAGGATAAGCCCACTCGGGATCTCTCTCTTCTGTAACGGTACAGCTCCCTCGATAAGCTCTTGGGAGTTACTGCTTGGTTGCGCCGCTTTGTCCGCAATTCGAGATACCCATCCCACCGACTCTCTGATAGCGTTTTGTCCCCTAGCGAGCGCCGTGAAGCTTTGATGCACTGGACCCGTATGGTCCAAACGGAGCAATTTGAGCCCGTCATTGAAAACCTGAAGCGTGGCTCCGTTATCAAGGGCGCCCTGGCCCGCCTCTTTCTGGATAACGCGGGGATGCTGCGCTTTGGCGGACGTTTAAAAAATTCTCAACTGCCGTACGGGGCTCGACACCCGTTGCTGCTCCCTAAGGACGGCGCCCTGGTCCAATTGCTGGTAGCCCACCACCATGTTAAGAATGCCCACGCTGGGTGCAACGCTCTTTCGGCTATTTTACAGCGGGAGTTTTGGATTTTGGCTGGCCGACATCTCATCCGGAGCGTCATCTTTAATTGCATATCCTGTTATAAACTGAAGGCCACCATATCGCAGCCCCTCATGGGTGACTTGCCGCCCGACCGCGTCAGGGCCATCCGACCATTTGCTGGAGTCGGAACCGACTTTGCTGGCCCCTTCCTCGTCAAGTCCTCTAACCTTCGTAACGCCCGTTCGCATAAGGCCTATCTTTGCGTCTTCGTGTGCCTCTCCACTAAAGCCGTTCACTTGGAACTTGTAAGCGCCCTCAGCACGGAAGCCTTCTTGGCCACGCTTGGCCGTTTCGTATCGCGGCGCGGGTTGCCGGACTTGATCCGGTCGGATTGCGGAACGAATTATAAGGGCACGGATAGGTATCTAAAGGAGGTCGTCGAGTTTCTGTCTAGCCACCGTACTTATTTAGGCAATGCTATGTCAAAAAGGGGCATCCAGTGGAAATTCGACCCTCCGGTGTGTCCCCACTGGGGCGGTATTTTCGAGGCGGTGGTTAAAGTGGCAAAAACGCATCTCCGTCGCGTTATTGGTGAAGCTATTTTGACATTTGAGGAGCTCGCCACTGTATTCTGTAAAATTGAGGCGGTACTCAACTCTCGGCCCCTCTGTCCCCTCTCCTCCGACCCGAATGATTTGGAAGTTCTAACCCTGGGACACTTCCTGATTGGCCAGCCTCTTAACGCTCTGCCCGAGTACCCCTTCAGGGAAACGAGCGCTTCACGGCTTAGCAGGTTTGCCCTGCTGCAACAGATGACTCAAAGCTTTTGGCACCGATGGTCTCTGGAGTACCTACATTTTTTGCAGCAGCGCGTTAAGTGGTCTGACAAGACGGAGCCTCCTCGGGAGGGAGACCTCGTGTTGATTAAAGAACCAAACGCTCTACCTTTGTATTGGCGCCGTGGGCGCATTGTTAAATTGTCGTATGGAGCGGATGGGTTGCCTAGAGTGGCCGAGGTTTTGGTCGGAGATTCGGTCTTGCAACGTGCCGTCGCGACCTTGTCCCGTTTGCCAATCTACTCGCGGACCTAATGCCTTATGTCCGGGGCGGGGGTTTGTTTAGGCAAGAATATTTATTTTTATTATTTTTACCTTCGAAACGTATTCTAACGCGCGCGCTTGGCCTCGATATCGAGGTCACCTCCCCCTCCCCCCGGCCGCCTGACGCGGCGGGATCGGACTTCTCGACATTCATTGTAGAATTTCTTGCGAGCTAGACTGACGTTTTCCGCGCCTAACTTGTTACGAGAGTATCAACCCGCGTAAATCGTTGTGAGAACCGTATCGTTCATCAGGAACTACTAACTCTGTTAAATTAATTGTGCAACCATAATAGTAATTTACCTCTGAAGTACTACGTCTACTGTCCCATTTCGTGACAAACCAGGAAGAGTGCCTCCAGAGGGGGAAAGTTCCGAGGATACCAGCGCATACCTTCTCCCGGACGGCATTGCGTCATCCAGATCAGGGCCCGTCAACATACACGCACATACAATTACACATACACTCACGACACTGTCATCAGCCGGGCCGGTCTCGGAGAATCGTCTCCGCTCCTGGAGCAGGTGAGTGCCTTTATCGTAGTGACCTTTCCCCTCGTTTGTTTCTATTAGAAATTTTCACTTTGGCCAAAAGCCCGACCTGTATCTGCCTGTAGGATCTTACTACTATGGGCCTAGGTGGATACTACTATTAGCTAGGCAGCTGCAGGCCGTAACACTATTATACATTCTAAATTAAATATCCGATTTGAATGAACTACTGGTACATAAATACCCTTAATGATAAAACTATCTATTCAAATAAGAATTAATACTATGAAACTAACCATCCTAGCTACCACGGCTCCTATAAACTATTAAATATAACATAAATGTTTATAATAGAATAATTATATACAAATTAATTTGATAGAATCAAAGATGAAAATAGTAACTAGTTACAACAGTTACTAAACTCCAAAGAGACAGTATAATTCCTTCATGGGGCAACATAGGTATATGCTTTTACAACAAAGTCCCAGAAAATATAAAACCTTATCAATCAGTTTAAATTTTTAGTAAGCTAAATTTGTTTAGTAAAGATTATGATTGATGATAATTGATAATCCTTGGGAATGAGGAGATTGCTACCATACTAATTTTATTCTATAAAAAATATTGTAAATTAATTCTATTCACCAAAGTCTCGCTGGGTTTCTAACTCGTTCTTCCCAAGACGGAGGCTTTTTCATATCTCTAATTTATAAGAGTGAAGAATTTTCATTGAATATAGACAATGTTTAAAAACTGTGGTATCTTCTACTTACACATTCTTTTGAAAAAGCTTTAATACAAACATAATAACAAAATTAACTTACGAAGAAGATGGTGACACTGGTAATGGCGGATTTACTTGTGCTGGCTCAGTGGAAGGTGCGGGTCCTAAAGGGAGACTTGGACACTCCAACTGCTGTCCATGTTCATCAAACATGGCCAGTAGGATAACCTCATAGGAGTTATCGAAGTCCCCCTGCATATCCTGCTCCTGAAAAGCAAGTAAGATGAGACATTTTAGATACACATATAACATCTTTTTATGGTCATGAGTTGGATTGACCAGGATACCACTGCTGTCTTTTAATTAGTAAGTGACAAAAACCAGAGACTTTTCATAGATGTGTTTCATGTTTACGTAATATGATAGGTGTAGATAATTTATAGGCTGTTTTAATACAAATGGTATATAAATACCAACATGTATATATACAGGACGGTAAACCAACATGACAGGAGAGAGATCAGGCGCAGGACCAATGGCTGTACATGCTTTTCGAGGTATGGGGGTGAGACAGCGCCAACTTCCTGACTCTGGGCTGCTACTGGGAATTTCTTGACGGAAAAACTCATTAAATAATTTTATTGACCCAACCCAGAATTTGAACCCGGGACCTCATAATCAGCAGTCGCGTTATACAACCACTATATGCACTCATATTTATAATCATAATAAAGACCAGAGTATAATAAATAACTTACCAAATTATTATGTGAAAATGTTTCTTCCCCTTCTTCGCTGAGATCGCCCTCGTTGAGTCACAGCATAAGATATCAAATTCCGCCATTTTTCTGAAAATGTATGTAGTACACACATGTGAACATTTTGTGTCTTCATGAAAATCGAAAAGAGTAAGAAGACAAAGTTTACATAGAAAAAGTTTCATATACAAAGTATCTTGGCGTTATGGTGGATCAGCGACATCCACCAGACATCCTGGTACAGACATGTTGAATTAGTATCGAGTAGAATTCGAAAGCTCACTTGGATATTTAAAACTTTAAGACATGTTGCCAGTTTAGATCTTTTGAATCAAATATATGTAGCGCTAGCTCAATCTATTATATATATAATATATTGTATACCAATTTGAGGGGGTACTTACAAAAGTAAATTTATTGAAATTGAAAGAGCTCAGAGATGTCTACTAAAGGTTATGCATTTTATACTGTACAGGTACTCCACTAGCTTTTTGTATGCATCAAGTGGGCTGATTTCGGTGAGGCAGTTGTACATATTACACACTGTATTGAAAAAACATAAATCTTTGGCTTTTAATCCTAGTTACAGTAGTAAAAGAAGAAATTATAGCGTAGCTCCTATTTGGAGAATGAAAACCACCTTTGCGAAACATCAATATAACAAGCAATCAGAACATTTATACAATCAGATTAATAAAATATTGCAAATATATCCATTAAAGACATATGACTGTAAGAAAAAAATAATGCAGTGGCTTAAGACAATTACGATCAAACTGAAGCTTTATTACAATTTTTTTTTTATTTTTTTTTTTAAAACACTAGGATTTTCTCATGTATCGTGGAGGCAGTTTACAAACACAAATTGCACAAGGACAAACATCCAGACCCGGAACAATTATTTGTAGGCCATACAAATACTTGATCCGTGCGGGATTCGAACCCGCGCCCCCCAGCACAACAACTCATTGCTAAAAGGCTTATTACATTACCTGTCCATCGTGTGCCCTGCCTACCAGACAGGGCGCTGCTTATTACACTACGCTAGAAATCGCTTCCTGCCTCAGTTGTTACTCGAACGTGGAAATGATTGCACGTCTAGCATTATGGCGCAGACTTTATCTAAACGTCAAAAAATTGCTTTATTGTTTTTTTTACGTGGTAGAGCCATGCTACAGCTATATTAGTAGTATAGTTGTAGCACGAATGGGTCGGCTCGACCGGGGAAGGACCACGCTCTCACAGAATACCAGCGTAAAATAGCAGCTTAACACTGCTGTGTTTCGTATGGTGAGTGTAGAGAACCGGAGACCCTTTTTACTGGTAAAGAGGCATTCCATCTCAGTCCTCACGGGTGACAACGCATCTGCATTTTGATTCGCATACGAGGATAAATGTAGGTGTCTATGGGCCACAGCAACCACTTACCATCGGGTGGACTGTGTGCTCGTTTGTCACCCTATCCTATAAAAAAAAACTTTGGCTGGCGGTACCGTGCTAGGCCAAGCTAAAAAAAGGAAGGAAAGTTAAATGTGGATGAAAAAATATTTACTCCTCAGAGAAAAACTATCGAATATGCAAATAGTCAGCGTTTTGGACCCAACAGACCTACGAAACTATTTTAAAGAGTAGGTGAAAACCAATTGGACGAGTTATTAAGCTTAGTATAACGCCTTTAATAGAAAAAAAAATACTTTAATGATTTCTTATATTTACGCGAAAGAAAAAGATCCTCCTCAATGTCATCGACATCTACAAAGATATACCTTATCAAATCTTATAGGAGTTTCCAGTGGCCAAAATCGTAGTGACAACCAATTTCTCTTAAAAAAAGTATTCTTTTGAATAAAACTACTTGTACGGATTCTATCGCATTTAATTATTTTTTTTATTAATTCCCGACATTTCGGGTGCTTTACAGCACCCAGTCCTCCGTGACCATGGGTGGTAAAGCACCCGAAGCGTCGGGAATTAATAAAAAAAATATTAAACGCGATAGAATCCGTAAAAGAAGTTTTATTCAAAAGAATACTTTTTTAAGAGAAATTGGTTGTCACTACGATTTTGGCCACTGGAAACTCCTATAAGATTTGATAAGGTATATCTTTGTACATGTCGATGACATTGAGGAGGATCTTTTTCTTTAGTGCATGACATAAATACGAATAATGATTTAGAGAGTAGATCGACACAGTAGAACTTTAAATAAACAAACGTGTAGACTCTGCGCATGCGGCCACGCAACTGAGCTTCCTGCCTCCCTGTCTCTTATTACACTACATGATCCAGAGCGCGGCAGGGAAGCAGGGCGGTCGGAACCACTCGGTCGCCCTGTTTAGGGATCCTGGCTCCCTGTTTCTTATTACACTACCCTGTCCCTGTGGGCAGGGCCCGAGAAATCGTGTAATGTAATAAGCCTTTAAGCCACTGCGCCACGGAGCCGTATTATAATTTATCTTATAAGCTTATAACACATTCACTCACTGTCTTTTTTCATACATACACACACACGCGCGCGCGCGTACACAACACATACACACACCCTGTTTCTTTTTTTGTTGAATGTATTTAGTTAAGGGAGGGCGAGGACGTTCTACCACAAGTATCTTTATACTTAAAAGAAGTCCTCAAACTTATACTAATAGAATATGTTGGAAACAATAAACTTTCATTTCATTTCATTTCAAAGTTTATAAAATTTATATATATGAATTATGAAATACTAAATTCTACACTCAAATATCTAACTATTATATAGAAAAAAACACTCGAAATTTCATAAAGAAAAAAAATATATAACATAAAATTATATCGACATCGTAATAATAAACACTCAGTAGGAGCCTCTAATAAATCGAAATAAAATCAATCATAGGTAAATTATGTGGGCTCCAGTCAGAGGTTGCAAAAAAAAGCAATCTTTATTTAATATATATTTAATTTAAAGTAATTATTACAATTAATTCTTATAACTAAGTGAGGTGACTCTAATTCGATGTTTGAATGTAGAATGGATTCACACGGTAAAATATTAGAACCAGGTAATACAAGACAGTAGACACGTTATGCTGACACGGCGCCTCGTGATCGTCGTAAGCCGATGCAACGCAGTAGATTGCCTGGATTAGGGCTGCGTAACACCTCCCCCCGAAGAACAGCGACTATGGAAGACCTTGGTCGTGAATTGAGCTGGGAGTTGATCGGGATCAATCTTCTCAGTGTCTGGAACAGCGTATACCCTTAATGATTTAGGATGGTCCTCTTCAGAGTTCCTTTGCGTACCTCCAGTTGGCTTCGGCTTGTATCTTCTATAGAGTATGCATAGAATCAGTGCACCTGCACTTATTATTAATGCGTAAAACGGTATTGTAGTATGATATAGACTGTAGTCATCGTTTCTTCCTAAATTCAATGGCGATTGCTGGGATATTTTAGTGTTCGTTGCATGAAGATGTTGGAGGTTTATTGAATTTAGTTTATATGCCGATGCAGAAGATGGGATGCTGGTGTGTTCCTCAGGTATGTCCATTATTTTTAAGGCTTGTCCCTTCAATCGATCTTTAGTATTTGAGATCGAGTATAGTGGCGTTTCTATGTAGCATTTCAGAGGGACAATAACGAGATAACTACCTTGAAGTATTTTGTAGAGATCTTGTCCACAGGATAGATGTACTTTCGTTGGTGTGGGGAAAGTGATGGTGTAATGCTTGTCGTCCAGTTCTTCGTAAGCTGGTTTATCTAGGGTGACCGTATACGGGTTACATACTGCATTCGTCTGTTGTTTAGTGATGAGGTGATGGATGCAATCAGGGGATGTTTGACCTCTCATGCTCCGCTTTTCTTTACAGATGTACCATTTACTGGTCTTCGGGCATTCTGCCTCTATGTACTGAAAATCTTTCTGATAAATGGCTAGGAATGGAAAGGGTGGTGTGAGGATTTCGTGTCTCTTGTTAGGAACAATAGATAACTTATACATATCATATATATGGGGTAATAGAATTGAGAACTTAAATACTATTACTATTTCATTTCCTACATAATATGAACCTAATCTAATAATATCATAGTATTCCCTAATATCTAAATCTCCTACCTTTTTACTTCCATAAAGTTCGATTGCTCTGTTAATCATTATTCGGATAGATTCTAAATTAACTATAGAGTGGTGCATAGTGTTAGCTCTTATAAATGCTAAGTTGTTTTGTAACTTAATTAATTCCTGTGAAATGGAATCAACGTTATCACTAAGGATCATTAGTACTTGTCCAAAATGGGCATATTTAATTAGGTCGTAGTCTCTGGTAGCCTCGGATTGATTTATTTTACCTATTAGTATTTCTAATTTATTTTGATTATCTACAATGCTATCTATTATTTTGGAGTATTGGTTTGATAAATCTTTAGTTAGGCTTACATGATTATTAAATTCCGTAACGATTTTATTTTCGTCTTCGCGGATGGATTTTATAGCGCGATTAAAATGATCTGCATCTGTATAATCAAGGTTACCAGTTATACTTTTTATGATGGAACCGAGACCATCTACAAGTCCTCTTTTCTCACGGTTCGTTTTAAAGCTACTCAACTGTATGGTGACACTTTCAAGCTTATTTTTAAAATAATCAATATGAGGCTGAAATAAGGAATTAGTTATGTTGTTAAGGTTAGGGCTAATACTGATTAACTGTGTTTTAACTGAATTTACTTTATCTCCTAATTCCTCGAGATTTACATATTGCAGAAATGCATGGTAGTGGGATAGGATTCGAGCGGGACCTAATTTGAAGGGTAATATACCAGGTCCATCACTAAGACTTTCAAGTCTTATCTCCTGCATTAGAGCTGGTCCCAGAAGGAGATGAAGTACCAGGAGAGTCCTGTAACAATTGGTTCGTTTTAGGTATTCTCTTCAATCGAGTTTTTGCTACGGGGCCTCGTTTTTTCTTTGTATAAATGTGAATTGGGAGGTTTGCCATTACTGTGTCGTGTGTGTATCGAGGAGCTAATTTCTGACGGGATGCGAATGGATTTTTTATAAAGATTTGTTGTTCCGGGGAATATTCAGCTTCCTGTTCTCAGTTTTTATT